CATTACTAAAATATAATACATAAATTATAAATCCAACTCACCTGATGCATACTCTTTTTTATGCAAAGTATCTTTCGTTGTYTTTGTTGTTATTCCTAGTTCTAAAAGGAAAGGGTCAAACATGAACCCATTATTAAGTGAATATACCAAGACACCTTCTGTAGTAGCAGCAGACCATGATAAACCTAATTAAAAAGTAATGTCATAAATATCTTTAAAAAAAATAATAATTGATAAATTATTACCTGTTGGAGAAAACTTGACATCAAACACATTAACTTCTGGCTTAAATGTTCTTGCAGCCAAATCACCTTTATGCACACCGGGTAATTTTAATTTAACATTTCCCCCTTCTCTTGTTTCACGTTCTTCAATTAGATCTATGTTCCCAAATTCTGTCATTTTACGTCGGTTTACAACATCCTAATAATATTATATACATGCATCAATATAATATAATGAAATTGTATATTTTCTGTTTAAGTTACTCACAAGTACAGCATCAAATGATTGGTTTTGAGTAATCTCAAATTTTTTTAATAAAATACCTTCAGCAACATTATAAATACAAACATTTTTGGATTGGCCCCCAGCTATAACAAACTGTCCATCCGCTGAATAACAAACTGAGTTAAACGCTCTATGAAAAAACAAACACTCTTATTTGGTACAATAAAAGTTAATAATATACATTTTATTGAAGTATATGTATATGCAGACTTTAAGTTCAGTGTGTTCTTAAAAAGTTGAATGTTTCCTAGAATTATGAATAAAGTAGCTTTAACCGTTTTGGGATCGTAAGTGGATAGTAACATAATTATACTTTTAGCACCCGGGGCACCCCTAAAAATTCATCCTTAGTCATGTAGATACAAAAAATAAGCACTGACTTTTGCGACTCACTGTTATAACCATCAATTCTTAAAATCTTACAGTAATTACTAAGGTTATATGATGGCATTAAAATGATTTGAAATTAAATCAGTTTTAAATTCTTAAGCTACATAGTGCGAATATTGTAACTTTTAAAACGGTTTACATTTTAAACTTTTAAAAAATGTAAACCGTTTTAGAAGTTAAAATACTCACACTATTAGTTTAAGAATTTAAAACCRTTTTAATGCTATCATATAAACGAAGTAAATGTGTCATATAATGTTCAAAAACAAAAAAATTTACACAGATGAGTGACTTAGTTAGGGGTTCAATATATGTTGACAATAGCAACTAATAATGTTAATAAAATTTTTTTAGATTAAATTTAATAGTTTAAAAACTCAGGCTTTATAGTTGATAAACTACTAAAAATTGATTTAGACACTAGCACTYTTTTTTTTTGCATCTGCGTCTATAATTGCACAATTGGTGGTGAACTAGTGAATGGATCTCCGGTAAATATTTGAGTAKCTTTAAAATACATTCTGCACATACTTATATATCTGATTATTGATCGATATTAAACTATTAAAGAAGTATTATTGTTATACTTTGCTTGAAGATTTTTTTTAGCTGTGATGAGATCTGTATCTGTTCGACCACTACCAAGATCATTTCTGCCCTCAATGCTTGCCACTTGAGTTGAAGTACGCACATCAAAAAATAATAATTGACCATCCAGTGTAGCAACAACTACTTCTTTTCCATCAGGACGAAATGCAACACATAAACCTAAGGAATATAAATCCAGGTCTATAATAGCTATTTGTACAACAATATAATTAATATATCAATTAAAAATTACCATCAGCAAACAGTTGTATAGTTTCATGATCAGATGCATTTTCTACAGCATTCCAAATACGCAATGTCTTATCCCAACTAGCAGTTACCAGTGTAGTACTAGAAATTATGGGACTAAATTCTAAGCTTACTATTGGTCCTTCATGTCCCGACAAAACCTAAAATAATATTCATGATTAATAATTGTCATGTATTTCGTTTATTTAGTTTTCMGTATATTAAATATAATTACTTCTAAAAGTTTGCCGATTTTCATAGACCACAGGTATGCTTCAAAAACATCTTGTCCCCCAGCAGCTATAAACTCTCCAGTAGAGTCAATAGATACACAACTGAATTGCACTGGTCGAGGGGACACAAATGTTTTAAAGTTACGGTATCTAAAGAAAATATTGATAGTACATAATAGTATAGGGTTATTGATGAAAAAATTCTTACCTTGTAAGATCAAAAGCACGTACTGTACCATCCAGAGATGCAGATACGATAAATTTTTTGTTAGGAGCAAATACTATGTCAGTAACAGAACTTGTATGTTCTAAGAAAGTAACAAAGCAAAATCCTGATTGGTTATTCCATAATTTTACCTAAAAATGAAATATATTATAAGAATTTTAAGAGAATATGATTGCCCATAATTATTTATCTGGCATATACAAAAAATATTTAATCATTGTAATCAATCAATTACTTTTCCATCTTCACCACCAGTGGCTATATACACAGAGTCAGCCGAGTATGTCAAACAAGATACTTCAGAACCATGAGCCTGTTGTTTCATGACATATGTTTCACTTTGCCATTCCCAAACCAATAATTGACCATGTCCTTTACAGCCAATTGCAATCCAATCACCAGCATTATTCAACACTATTGTACTAATACTGGTTTCTGAAATACTAACATCATAAATTAATAAGTAATGTTAAATTATCAAATGGATGTTAACTAACTTTAAAGAGTGAATAAGTGATTTCCCGACAGTCTCAAAAATTAAAAATGATCCATTTGAGAAACCAGTAACAAGGATTTTGACCTTTTTATGATAATCAGCAGCAGTCATTTTCAAATTGTTATGTTCATCTTTTATATAGTCATTGAGAAAATGTGTTGATAATTTACGGTAACTCAATAAATTTTTACTATCTATCTTTACTTTTTGCTTATATTTTTCTGAAATAATAATAAACACAAAATAATTTAGAAATCTAATTATTATCTTTTTATTTTATTAAGTACCTTCTTTATTAATGACATAACGTTCTCTGTCTTCTCCTTTGGATAAATCAATCTCATCTTCTTCGTCATCATTTAATTTTAAWCGTTTACTATTGGTTGATGATTCTATAGTAGCCATTTGATTTAAAAATAGTGAACATTGCCAAATAGATAAATGGCCATTTCTGTCATTCAAATTTAAAGAATTAACTTATTTATAAAATAATTTAAAATCTAATCCATAACATACCGGGAGACAACCATCAAGTCCAATGAATTTTCTTCAAAAAATATTCCAACAATAGTATCTGGATGTCCAGTTAATGAATATGGTCGGAAATTTGAGTAATTTCCAATAGTATATAACCTTACAGTAGCATCTTTACTGCCTACCGCAAAAATACTGAAAAATTGAAATATGTTAGTGTTGTAAGTAAAAATAATAGGTTAAGTTATGGTTACACTGGGGTAGGTTCTTATGAAGTATAAAGACAGCTGTTAAATATTTTAGATACCATAAAATTATAATAAATTTGTAAATTAAAGTGTTATGATAAAAAATGAGTGATAGGTATGTATAACTAAAAAATGTTAAGTAAAATGTTTTGAATTTAAAAGTTTTGTTATAATTATTGTGAGATTGTCAATATTAAATGTTAAAAATTGTATGATATACCTTGAATCGTCAGTCCAAGCAACATATGTGGTGTCACCAAGAATATCACTGAAAACACGTTCCAATGCAAACTGATTGAACTGTCCAATAAAATGACCCGGTGTTTGCAAAATAAAAACTTAAAACAGACTTAATATTACAAATGAAACTTCTTACAGGTAAATTTTTAAAGTGAATACATTCACTTGTATCAGATGGATAACTTACTTTTGTTAAGTTTACAAGCAGCTATATGTTTTCCATCAGGACTAAATCTCAAGTGAAGCACTCGTTCATTGAAACGATACTTGTGAATCACTCTATTGCTGATCAAACTGATTAAATCTGCTTCTCCAACTAAGAACAKGAAATCAAATTAAAATAGTTACAAGTTACTTTTTTATGTYTTAAAATATATTTACAATACCTTCATTTACAGCAAACAAAAGATTGCCATCTGGTGACAAAGCTATTTGTTCATAGTTGTGTGAGCTTTCTACTGGTAGAGTAAACGACGTGTTACTAAAATGAAATAATTACATGTAATTCTGAGAAACAGAATAATTTAAGTATGAAGATTTATAATATTATACTTCTTTAAATCAAATTTTGATATCCGATTTCCCACTGGACTGATGACTGTATTTCCATCTGGTGTGAAAATTAAATTTCCCTCACGATAAACTGTTCCAAGAATGTTGGAAAACTAAATMAAAAAAAAACAATTAAAAACGTTTAAAAAGATTATTATACTATAATAATAGATTAGTTTAATGAGTTATACCTTGTAATTAAATCTCATCATACACCGTACGACAAACAAGTTTATAAATAATATACTATTCCGCTAGACAATAATTAGATAATAAAATTATAATATTACACCAAATTTTGTATACGAGTGACTTAACAGCATAAAAAACTACAAACAATAACTATGACAGTATTCCAATCATAATAATTCACACAACGCTACACAGGCAAACAATATTACGGTAGTACGGTAAGTTGCTTACTAAATAAGCACGTGGATCGAATGCTGTTATCACACAATTAGTCAACAATCACTTATCAGTATCGTTTTATTGCGTTATCAATTTCGGTGCACAGTTTGGCGTCCTTTCTAAATTTTTTTCCCCTATTCTAGTGCTYTTTGAGTCTCTTGTACCTCTATAATATTCAATATTTCAATGACAATTACATATTATTCACATGTGTTTAGATCCAAGGTTCATAATCTAGGGTATGTATTTTAGTATTTTATAATATACACATCATAGGTACGTGATCCAACTATATTTTAGTTAGAATCAAAGATAAATAAAAATATAGATATCTGAGGTTAGAAGTTATATTATTATCATGTCTTTCATAASTATCACAGTATCACAGAACAACTATTATCTTAGTCCGCGTTTTGCTAATTTGTTGATTTATTTTTCAAATTTGCTCAACTAAAGTCTAAATCATGAAATAATTATTGAATTWCTGTACGACTGGTTTTTTCATACCACAGGTAAATGATTTGAATAGTGTTATTAAAAATAGGTACCTAATGTTTTGCAAAACTTTAATAAGAACGAATTAAAATTTAAATCATAGTAAAAATTTAATGAGAATCATTAGAATTTATTAGTAATGATTTTATTTTTAAATTTTACTTTTAAAAATGCTCTGTATCCTAAACTGGTTTCAATCATATTTATTTTTATTTCTATTTATAGATCAAATCTGTTACCATGTTGCGTAGATCTAAACGTACTTGCAAGTCAAAGGTAACTGTTYCTGWTGAAAATAATTCCCACGAACCCCCTGTCAAACGTAAACGTGGTAGTCGACTTGAAGTTTCTGTTAAGAATTCAACAACTGAAGATGATAGTTCTGGAGATGAATTTGTGCCAACAGAAAATACTCCCATAAAAACTTCATGTACTTTAAATTTATCTGAATCGGACAGTGATAATGATACTCAAGATTGTAGTAAGGCCAATGTGAAAGCATTKAAATTGTCTGATACTGAAAGTGAAGTTGATGACAATGTTTGTCAAACAAATTTTGATTTCAACACTCTTTCAAAGCCTCAAGATACTTCAGAACTATTCAAAAGTGATGTGGAATCTAAGGTCGTTGAAACTATTGCAGAAAATGGTCTTTATAATGATATGGATGTTGCCAAAATCTTATCTGTGGGAGAAGGAGTTAATTTAAAAACAGTTTTAAATAATGTTGATGAAACTGTAGAAGAGGATATGAAGCGTGATGATAATTATACTATTCCTGAAATGGTTGAAATCACTGTTAAACTTCCGAATGATATGAAGTGTAAAAAAGGTCAAGATATGGAAAATATTCTCAGGAGACGTATGAATACAATTTGTAAAGATACTCAAGTTTTAATTCATAAAGTAAATCTTCTTTTATGGATCGCTTATGGCAATCGGTTGAACAGTGTTCTTAATTCACCAGAAGTCATGGGATCAGCATTGTCTCTTGTACCATCTAAAAAAGCATATCCGCCAAAGCAATGTGATTTAAATTATTTAGAAAATTATATAACATGGTTTTCTAAAAAAATTAAAATATCTTCAAAAACCGATCCATTATGTGAAATAAATGTATTATCTTTGACAGACCGATTTTCAAGATGTGAAGCTAATACAAGATATGAACTAATTGCAATGTTTATTTCTATGTTGAGATCATTAGGATTGAATGTACGGTTAGTGATAAATTTAAATGCTGTCTCAATCAAACCATGTTCTGAACAATTATTGGGTCCTTTAGTAAATGATGATCATAATCTTATGAAACCATCTTGTAGTAAATCTAATAAAGATAATATAAAGAAAACTTCGTCAAAATCAGAATATTTCGATAAAAAATCAAATAAACTCGAAAAGAGTAAAAAAGAGCTTAAAACGAAAAATTCTAACATAGATAATAGAAAAAATAAAACCAAAGTTGGTAAAAGTGTTGAAAATATTTCTTCAAGTGATACAGAAGATGAAATTTTCATAAAAAGCAAACAAAGTGCTAAATCTGAGTATTTTAATAAAACATCTAACAAAGCACAATCTGATTTAAAAAAATCAAAGTCCGTTAAAGACAAAAAACTAACAAAAAAAAAATCTAAAATAAGTGAAAAAATTGATCGTCGTGTTGTTTCAACTGATGAAGAAGACCATACAACACATACTAGTGAAACAGTTGCTAAAAAAAAAGTGAAAAATGACTTTTGGGTGGAAGTATTTTTGGAAATGGAAGAAAAATGGTTTTGTGTGGATGTCATTGGTCAACGTATACATTGCATCAAAGAAATATATGTTAGTTGAATTATAAATTATATATCTATAGAATTTTATTAAAAGTATTTTATTTTTACAGAACTATACTAATTATAAAAATACTCCACTAATTTATTTTCATTTTTTCAAATTTTGTTTATTATAGAATGGTGCATCTCATCCTATGCGTTATGTTTTGGCTTGGTATAACGACAATAGTATCAAAGATATTACTAAACGATATGATCCATATTTTCATACTCTAACACGAAAAATTCGCGTGGATCCTAAATGGTGGAAAACTACTTTACGAYCTTACACTCCTACAGGATCAGCTAGAGAACGTGAGGAGGATGATGAACTTAATAAACAATTAGAAGAAATACCATTACCTAAAACAGTTTCTGAGTTAGTTTGATGATAATTTTTTATTTAAATTTTACTACAAGCATAATTATTATTTAATCATAGATTCATAGTTAGGTATTGTGCTCATTATTATTAAAATGTTTGTTTAAGGTATAAAAACCATCCATTGTATGCCCTATCAAGACACTTACTAAAATTCCAAGCCATATATCCGCCAGAACCACCAATTGTTGGATATGTTAGAAATGAACCAGTTTATTTACGAGAATATGTTCATGAGCTTAACGGTAGAGAAAACTGGCTAAAAGAAGCCCGTGTGGTTAAAATGGGTGAAAAATCGTATAAACAAGTGAAATCTCGTCCTAGATTTGATAGGKTTAGTCCCATATGTTTAATATCATCAACTTGGTTCTACTATTATATAATATATATGTTACAGAATGGTGTGCGAACAGATCCTCCACCATTGGAATTGTTTGGTTATTGGCAAACTGAACCCTATGATCCTCCAACTGCTACTAATGGCCAAGTTCCTAGAAATTGTTATGGCAATGTTGATTTATTCAAGCCTTGCATGTTACCTAAAGGAACTGTTCATCTTCAACGTATGTATAAATATAATACTGGTATAAGTTGTTATTTGTAACTGTTCAACATACTAATTTGTTATCATTTTTAATTTTAGTTCCTGGATTACTGCGTGTTGCAAAAAAACTAAACATTGATTGTGCTCCTGCAGTTGTAGGTTTTGATTTTCATGCAGGTGGTTCCCATCCTGTAAATGATGGTTTTGTAGTATGTCAAGAGCATAAAGACACTTTAATAGATGCATGGAACCAAGAACTTGAAGAAAGTCGCAAGCGAGAGCAAAAAAGGTATGAAGATAGAGTTTATGGTAATTGGAAACGATTAGTAAGAGCTCTTCTTATTCGTGAACGATTGAAAATTAAATACAATTATTTTGGAAGTAATAAAGAAGGCCAATCTACTTCTAAGACAACTGACTGCAAAAAATAAAACCTTTTGTATTACTATATTTAATTATTTTTAATGAAATCTATATCTTGTACATTTCAATAGTCATTAATATTTAATTCCAACAGTATTATTATTTATTAATGTTATTTGGGTTGATTTATAAAATTGTATTTATATTGTGATCCTTAATATTGAATTTTGTTTTAAATATTTTATTGTTTATAATGTTACTTCTAATTGATAAAAATAATGTATAATTATTATTAAATACCTATACTATAATTTAATTAAAACATTTATTTTTGTTATACTGCTTTTGTACCTATTTTGTATTAGTACACAATTTTTGGCACAATGTATAGATTTCGTTTTAAAATATTATGTAGTACAATAGTGTGTACTTATTGAATATTTACTAGAGATTAATGACTAATGACCATTGAAAGTCAGCATTGAGCTATTAATAGTCAGCACAATAGTTTTTATTTAAATCTTCAGTTAAATAAAAAAAAAATGTACTATTTAACAAAACTGAGTACTGACAAACTCTACTTAGATAATTCAAAGCGCAAACATTTTCACATATGAATGTATAAGACTGATAAAATGATGCTGGACCCTTTGGAATTTAAGATTAAACATTTTTATGTAACTATTCAATGAATATCGGTAGGCCCCTCAGTTCAAATTTCAGGCCATGTACTAAATATTACTGTTTGCCCTATGAAATATTATTTAATGTAAAATAATGATTTTTATCAAATTACAAAGGTAAGTAAAAAGGTAGGTAGGCAAATAACAAATTCATTT